TTCGAACAACAGTCCATACTTTCAAAAATATGGAAGCCTTTTTTGAGGGCTGCACTGTTTTAGTCCGAAAAGACAATCCTTTCGGTATATATAAACCAACTATTGGTTTTGATGTTTCGAACACCAATTCCCATCCTTAAGGGGTATCAAGTTTTGCTTCGAAGGACATTGCTCTCATTAAAAAGCCTAAAACAGGTTTTTAATCCCTTTGAAGTAAACAAATACTTGTGCATTCATACATCTTTAGGTATGGAATGTGCTTCGAAGGCGGCTTCTCAGTTTCGAAGCCGCTGTTATTTGACTTTTGGCACCAAAATCTGGTTTCGAAGCCAAATATTTTATTCCGAAGCTGACATCAACATCTGGGATGTGTTTTTCCCTCCAAAAGTATCAATATTGAAGGAAACTCTTCGTATTTGTACCTTTAGTACTTTACGAATTACACGATATATTTTCAAGACACAAAAGTTCTTTAAAACCCTTTTATTTCGTGTTCTGAAATCACTCGCTCACTTAACACATAAACCCTTCTCCTCTATTAACTCTCTCTTCCTCGCTGCTTGCTACCAATGGATTCTTCTTCTCTGAAAGTACTTGCTGGCGATCGTATAAGCCCAACCATGGCTTTGAAAAGATGTATCGATGAAGAAATCGCCAAGTTAACAATTGATGGGTCAAGTGCCATAGATGGACGCCTTTTTGTTCCTCGTCACAGCCACAAACAAGAATATGTCCTCGGTCCTATCTTTCGAGAAGCTCCTGCTCAACTTCCAGCTTTATACCCTCGCTTAGAGGACCACTTTCTTCTCTACGAAGGAGGGCTCGACTGGGGAAATTGGAGAATGACCCGACCTCACCGTTGCTGGCCGACATTGAGAGCTGAATGGGAGGAATGGTATGAGAGAGTTGTGCCTGCAAGAGAAGATGACCTGCAAGAGCTTTGTATTCTCGATGCCCTTCGTTTTTCCAAGTTTAGCATTCCTGAAGACCCTTTTTTAATTCCTACTGCTCTTTACTTTTGGAACATGGCTTTTAATTTTTTTCAGTTCCGGTGTGGCATGAGGGCTCCCACCGTTCTTGATATATGCCATCTCCTAGGGCTTTCACCCCTTAGTACTCTTTTTACACCCGGCTATCCGGACCTTCTTGTGAAGTTTCCCCTTCCATCCTTAAATTCCTCCTTTAGTGACTTTATAAAGGCTGAAAACAAAAGGGTAGGCCCCGTGAGAGATAGAGAACTTTTTTCCTTTATTTTATACTGGCTGTGTAAGTTTCTCTTTTGTACATCATCTCAAAGGATTATGCCTGAATTCGCCCCACTTGCGAAGGCACTTGTTTTGAAAAAATGCATAGCCCTGGCTCCTTACCTCTTAGGCCATGTTTATAGAGCATGTTCCCAATTTTGTGAGAAACCTCTTGATGTTAACCAAGGGGGTCCCCTTTGGGTGCTCCAACTCTGGCTCCTTGCTTACTTCACTAATTTGCATCCTAAATGCTTAAAATTCCTTGTTTAGGACCCTAGCACTTATGGGGAGAAATATGCTAGAATTATTCTTTATCCTGCTTCCTTTGCCTACTATCTCACTTTTTTTCACCAACTTCCTATTTTTTCATCTGCCACCTTCTTTTGCCCCTTTGATGTTAACAAAGGACCTACTTGGCTGCAAACATTCTTAGCTGATAAAGAGTGCTCCACCCCACCCTACAAAGACATGTGGGCTTCTATTTTGCTGCCGAGGGAGCTGTTCATTGGCACTTTAAACCCTTGAGCTTATAAGTGTTTAGCTGAGGTGTACTGCCCTTCTCAATTTGCCAGGCAATTTGGGTTAACTCAGGGGATTCCCATTCCACTTTGCAGCCTCTCGAATGTCCATTTTACAGCCAGAGACCTGAGAATACCCAAATCAAAACTGGAAGAGGCAACATTTAAACGTTAAAAGAATTGAGTGAGTTCAAATTTGTCCCCTTCCTTCCCTCTGGCTTGGCTCTGAAAAGATTTCAAAACTGGTGGACAACCAATATGGAAGTGTGCTTATCCGTACACCCTCATGATTTACTAATAGGGTTAGGAGTGCCTTCGAAGGCTAAATTAACAACAGTTGAGAACATTCCCTCTCTTTACACAGCTGCCAAAACTACTCCTGCAGCCTCACCCTCTCCTGCTAGAGTTACCAAAGCTGCTTCAAAAAGGGGTAAGTATTTTTAGGTTTCTTTTTCCTTAGACTCTTTTGTTTGTTTCCTTTACATTCATATCTCTTGGTTCAGGGTCTCCACAAGAAGAGTCTCCTAAAAGAGCTGAAACTTTAGCTACTCTCAAAGACAAACAACAACAGAAAAAGAAAAGTAAGCTAATACTCCCTCTTGAAGAATCTGAATCTCAGACTGAAGAGAAAGAGATGGAGGAAGAGCAAGAAATACCATTACAGAGAACAAAAAGGAAAAAGATGATTGTCTCTCCTTCTAACTTGGTCGAAGACCCTTCTCATGAGACAACTGTCAAAGCAGCAGAAAAGGAACTTACCCCTGAAAGGTCTGAATCCCAGATTGAAGAGAGGGAGACTGAGAAAGAACATGAAATACCATTACCAAGAAGAAAGAGAAAGAAGATGACTGTTTCTCCTTCTGATTTGGTCGAAGACCCCAGTCATGAGGCGGCAGCCAAAGCCTTTTCCTTGCACAGCAGTCCTCATAGCCTAGTGTCACTAGTTTGCCTTCACATTCACGATGGTTTTATTTTAACAGAGAGGTCAATTGATTAATAGTTTAAAAGTTGGGGGAGGAGTTGGTGAAAACATTTTTTTGCATTGCATACTTATTGATTTTTTTGTTTATTAATTACCCTTAAACTAATTTGATTTTGATATATTTTCTTTAAATTAGGATTTGTGAGAATTTATTTGATCTGTTTCAACTTAATTTTAAAATTCTTAAAATTTTGTTTGGAGATTTGAATTTAGAATGCAAAGAAACCAAATAATTCTTCTTGGATGGGATTTTTAATTTTTCTTTTGCAGCAACAACTACTGAGCCTATTCTTCCAATAAGGACTCCCTCAGTTTCAGTTGAAGTTGATCAATTGCAAAATTATCCAATACAAATAATCAATATTTATTATACTTCTTTATATTCCTCAATTATCCAATACAAATAATCAATATTCTACCTTTTCTACTAATTATACTACCATAATACAAATAATTAATATTCCATATTTTCTACCAATTATACTACCATGAAACACTACGTGACCGTATTTCCGGACTATCGAATTATCACCCATGCATATAAGACCTCGTTTGTGAATATTTTATTTTTGTAATTTTTGATTTTTTTTGGGGTTAAAATATGAGGTAAAAAAATTGATATACTTATGATATTTTTTTACTTTAGAAAAAAAGAATATTTAACTTTTTTTAAAATTTATTAATCTTTTAATAACTTTTTAACTTAAACTAAAATAAACACTTTCCAAACGAAAACGAGACCTAAGCTCTTAAACATTCTCCCCTTACAAGTCAGTTTTGAGTTTGAATTTTATGCTAGTTTGGGACAATTCAATAGTTTCACTTTCAACAGTTTATCCGATTCTTCGTCTATCTTCTTGATGTTTAATTCTAATTTAGACTTATCTTAACTATTTTGGTTTTTCAATTTTTGAATATATATGAACTGGTGATTAGTGTAACAAATTCTGATCTGACTATAAGCATATTGTAGAGTGAGAAGTATTATATTGAGAGCATAACGGGTTGAAAATCTCCATGGATAGGCATTGAGGCCAAAATGATCAAATATGAAATTGTTTTCATCAAACAAACAAGTTACTCATGTTCGTCTCTGATATAAAAAGTTCATATAAATACAATATTATATCTAATATATAACCATATCCACGGGCAAAAATTCAAGTTACTATGTCATTGAATGGCTAGTTAACTCTTGGGGGTACCTTCTTTTTTTTTTATTGTTATTTTTTTTGTTTGGTGTAGGGGTGCAACTTGGGCGGGTTCGGTCCGGTTGGGGTTTGGCCTGAGCCTAGTCCGAATTGTGTTTGGCAGTGCCCAAGCCCGACCATCAACCCGAGCATGGCTGCCCAAACCCGGACCAAGCTTTATAATTTGAACTCGGGTTAGCCCGAATTGCACTAGACAACAAAAAGCTTCTGCAATGGTGCTTCTCCAAACAAGCCCTCTAGAGTGCCTACTCTGTTTGAAGAAGCTGCTGGAGTTTGGTGGCACTAGCTTGTTTGAGTTGAAGACACAGATCACACTTTTAAGAAACAAAGTTAGCCATTGCCATTGGGATGGGACACTCAAGCCAGCCAAAAAAAAAAACATTAAGGACATCTATTTAATTTAATTTATATATATCATATAATTTCTATAATATATTAAATGCAATTCGGGTTCAGGTTGCTCGGGTTAGCCATTGATTTTGCCCAGGCCCGGCCCGAATTACAATTCGGGCATCAAAAATCTGCCCAAGCTCGTCCAGATTACAAAATATTGTTGCCCAAGCCCTAAAAAAACTTGGGCTGGGCACGGGTTGCTCGGGTTGAGCCCGCCCGAGTTGTAGCCCTAATTTATAGCTTCCACTCAAACTACAACACTCATCAGTCTTACTCACATTTAAGTTTATTCATTGAATATGAAATTTTTTTCCAAAACTTCTACTCAACTTGAGTAAAAATATAAGTAATAACAACAAAAACAGAACATTCCATGAGGCATAATATAAAATTGTTGCACAAAATTTATATATATATATATATAAAGAGTTTGTACACATTCATACATTGAAAATGTTAATTTCATGGACTCATTATAAAATAAGGCATGAACATCCTAAATAATCAATGAGAAACAAAATTAGAAAAACAAAATAAAAATGAAACCAACACAAAATATTTAAAGAGAACAAAATACTAAATTGAAAAGACTACTCTCTTTTTCACTACATTGGAGGAGAGAAAATATTAAACTCACTAACATGGAAATCTAACCACTAAATTAACCCTAATAATTGATTATACATTCAGCTACTCGTTGAACATTAATGTCCAAAACCTTGGAAGTGCCACTAGCTTTAGGTATAATTATATACAAAACCCCATCTTTAACCTCAGCTTTAATCTTCTCAAACTCAACATTCTCAAGCAAAGCAACTCTATTGCTATACCTACCTTGGCTCTTTGCAGACCACTCTTCATTTTCTACCTCACTTTCTTGGCCATTTCTGTCCTTGGCCATTTTCTTAGCCTTGACAACCAACATTTTCTCTTCAACATAGACCTTCACATCATCTTTGGTCATACCGGGCATGTCGAATCTCATCTTGTACTCTCTCTCTCCTTCCTTTATCTCCCATGGAGTCCTTCCCCTGCTGTACTCGCCGGTCTCAGTTAATGTCGGCGACGGCCACCCGTTGGTGTAGACAAAAGGGTCTTCCATCATCCTCTCCATGGTTTCCATCATTTGTTGCACTGTCCTTGCTGTTGGAAATCTATCCCACAACCCTGCATATAATGAAGGGTCAAAACTACACTATATAGATATTAGGAAAAATTAGTTTAAAGTCTCTCTCTCATTTTTAGTAATGAGAGAGATCCACAATAATATTTTGTGATGTCTAAGGTCCATCACACATTCCCATACATCTCCCTCCATATCTAATCTTCCTGGAGAAAAGAACGCAGAGACTGATATTTGAATTCAAGATTTTAAAGTTTGGTTTTCTTCCTCATCGGATAATTTGACAAAGGCGTCCAGCTTCGGACCGACCACTATATATACATACACAAACTCCTCCTCCATCCATTTTCTAAGGTTTTCAAAGATTTCGAGCCCAGACCTCTTTCGCCACGGAGAGGAGTAAGTGCCTTTTCACTCTATCCATCTATCTATATCTATGTCTATGTCTATATCTATATATATATATGTATATGTTTGTGGTTGCTTAGATCTGTATCTATGTGAATTTTTTGCTATATGGTTTTCTATATATTCGTAGATCCATTGAAGATTTGAATTTTCTGATCTAAAAATGTTTTATTCTTTGTACTTGTTATTTTATGGAGTCTTATATTGATATCCGTAATTCAATTTTTCATGTAGTGCTAAGAAATCTGAGAAATGTGTATTTTTTTTTTCTTCTGACCCAAACACCACCCCTGTTTATTTCTGAAATTCTTATTAGATTGGATGAGCTTGAATGTGAACTCAGATCACAATTGGCTAGGCTTCAATGAACTTGATCTTGGCTGGCCAGAGTCATTGCGAACTGGCATCTCACTCCCACGAACTCAATTATGAGATCTGATTTGAGATTGTGAAGACACATCCAAGGCTAGGGTTTCTTGGATCAATGTACGATCACCAAGGACTATTCATAAAAATACAACTCTGCTGCAAATAGAGACAATATCTCTAGTTTCAATCCAGAGAATTTCTCTGGTTTAGACCAGAGAAATTCTCTGAATTGAACGGGCATCTTCTTCTCAACATCTAGAAGGTTCCACACGAGCATTTGCACCCTGAATATGCCTATGAAGAGGCCAATGTTTACATTTTGCAAAAGAAATTGTAGCTGTAGCACACAAATATCTGGTAAGTTTTGGAATTTGGAGTAGGGACAAACTATTCTATTCATGGAGAATTTCTTGTTAGAACTAAATTTAAGTGGAGAAAACTTTATTTGAAATTTGTGATTGTTGACTGCTTCAGTATTATTTTGTGGGTTTGTTAGTAAAGATTGCATTATTGGCTTACATATTACACAAAGTCAGAGAAGTTCTTTGTGAATAGAGCTAGAGAAATTTGTGAGCTCAGAGAAATTTTCTTTGACTCTATCCACAAATTTTCTCTACACAATTTTCTCTGGATAAAGCCACACAAAGCTGCACAACTTTCTCTACACAATTTTCTCTGGATAGAGCCACACAAATTCTCTACACAATTTTCTCTGGATAGAGCCACACAAAGCCACACAATTTTTCTTTACACAATTTTCTCTGGATAAAGGCACATAAAGCCACACATTTTTCCCTGGATAGAGCCACACAAAGCCACACAAATTTTCTCTAACACAATTTTCTTTGGATAGAGCCACACAAAGCCACAAAAATTTTCTCTACACATTTTTCTCTGGATAGAGCCACACAAAGCCACACAAATTGTCTCTAACACAATTTTCTCTAGATAGAACCACACAAAGCTATACAAATTTTCTCTACACAATTTTCTTTGGATTTATTTGGTACTCAGAGAAAATTGGTCAAAATGGTGGTTGTTCAATTTTCTCTAGTTTGTTGTTGTCTAAATGGCTTACAGTCTGGTTTTTCTCTGGAGAGAATTTCTCTAGAGAGAAAATCTATGGGAGGTCCAGAGAAATTCTCTAGGAAGCGCAGAGGAATTCCCAGAATTTCTTTGGAGAGAAAATCTCTGGGAGGTCCAGAAAAATTTCCAGAATTTCTCTTGAGAGAATTTCTCTTGGGTCGAATTTTCTCTAGATTGATGTTGAAAGACCATAGACATTATGACAATGTTGGGTGTCCTTTATGCTATAAAATCTTAATACCAGGGATCTTAAAAAAAAAATCCCCTAGATATTAATGCATTCTAATAATTAAATAATAAAATTATACTTTTTACCATTGTAGTTTTGCTTCAATGTATTTTTATCACTATGGTTTCGATTAGATAAATTATACTTTTTACAATTATAATTTTACTTAGATGTACTTTAATCACTATAATTTCAATTTAAATAATGTTGGTCTTTATATTTTTAATTCAGTTTCAATTTCATTATTTCATTTAAGTTAATAGTTAAAATTTATGATTTTTGAAAACATGTTAATTATATAGAAAATTTTGATTATAATTTCAATAGAAAAAACAAATTAAAACTAGATTTGATGTCTATAAGAAGGCACTTGACACTTCTAACTTGGAGGTGCCTTTTGGGTTGGAGCCCAAGGGGACACCGACTGTTGGGGTTGGCCATATTGGACCATATTTCCTCAGTGGGAGCTGGGCAGAGCATCTAACATATCTATCAAACTATCACAATCTGCCTTTGGTGTGGAAATGCTTGATTGTGGATGAACACTGAAGCATCCTTGATCTCAAAAGATGTGGATTTACTTCCCATGTCCTCCACATATTTCATTTTGTTCAATGAATGATCTCTATTGACCGGACATCTTTCTTTCTTTCATTCTTCTTTCATCATTTCTTTGGTGATGAAAATGCTTAATGTCTGTACTTGCTGACATTTTATAATTTTTCTATGCTACTTTTTTTGTGTTTCAGCGACTACATGTTGTTTGGCAAGAGAGGGCTTGAACTCACTTCGTGAAAGAAAAGATGGATTTGACATCGTAATTAGTGATGTCAACATGCCTGACATGGATGGGTTTAAGCTTCTTGAGCATGTTGGTCTTGAGATGGATCTTCTTGTCATCAGTCAGTACTTGTGATTAATATTTGAAGCTTTGTTGTGATTGTTAGATTTTCTTGTTCTCTTCCATTCATGTCTATTGAAACTTTTATTTGTAACGCTTTTACATTCTTAATCTTTGCAGTGATGTCTGTTGACAGGGAAACAAGCAATGTAATGAGAGGTGTCCAACATGGGGCATGTGATTATCTTCTCAAGCCTATAAGAATGAAAGAACTACGTCATATATGGCAACATGTCTTTAGAAAGAGGATACATGAAGTGAGAGATATTGAAGGTCATGAAGGCACGTATATATGGTATATATTCCTACATATATTAGGTATTGATTTCTTATATATATTAGGTATTGCCATAATTAGGTCTCTTATAGGATACTCTTGCTTGTAGTTAGATTTCTAGTAGGATACTCTTTCTCAGCTTATATATACAGGCCTTCTATTGTATAATATAATTCATTCAATGTATGTTTGGCAAGTTAGTTTTCAGGCTTTTTTGGCTATTTTAGCCACAAAAAACAAAATAGGCTATTTTAGCCATAACAAACAAAACATCACATCCAACCTATAATCATTACATTCTTCTCTCACAAAAAAAGTCAAAAAAGCCAAAAAGCCAAAAAGCTCTTCCCAAACCAAGCTTTTTAGCCCAGGCTAAAATAGCCAAAAAAACCAAAAAGCCAAAAAGCCAACCTACTTCCCAAACCAAGCCTCAATACAATATCATTCAATACAATACATATTATTCTCTCACTCTCTACTATTCTAACATGGTATCAGAGCTATAGGTTAAGCTCTTGGTATTCTTCGCTTCACCGACGGGCAGCAGCCTTGCCTTGGCCGACTGCTAGACCTCAACCTATTCCGCTGTCATATTTTCCTGTTAGTATCGATTCGTGGTGATCTCTTCCTTTTGTCCGCTGTTTATTCCTACTCCAAATATCTCTATCATATTTTTTTACTCGCAATACAATTTTTTCTTCACTCTATGTTTTCCTCTACTTCACCCTCAAATTGGTTTCTCTCTTCCAGCCTATTTGAGTTTGAGGGGGGATATTACTATATCATGGTGAGTATGGTTATACACCACGCAAACCACCTAAGCCATCTCCTATGGCGCACAACTTAAGCTGTCCCTTGTGGCGCACAACTTAAGTCGCCCCTTGGCGCACCACCCAAGCCGCCTCCTTTGGCGCACAATCCAAGCTGCACTCTCTGGCCCACAACCCAAGCCGCCTCTCTTTGGCGCACAATCCAAGCCGCTTTCTCTGGCGCACCACCAAACTCGCTCCCTGGTGTATCATCCAAGCTGTCTCCTGGCACACCCAGTCATTTGTTGCCATTATCATTCAGCACTATGTCATAAGTTATGTGTGTGCCACGCTTGCTAGTTCAACATCAGTTCTCTACATCGGTCCAACATGACCCCTTTAAACTGTCTCGACATTGATTCTGGTATGCTCCTACATCAGTTCGGCATGACCCCTTTAAACTATCCCGACATTGATTCCGGTTAGATCCTACATCGGTCAGACATGACCCTTTTAAACTTTCCTGACATTGATTTCGGTTAGCTCCTACATCTATCCGGCATGACCCCTTTAAACTGTCTCGACATTGATTCTGGTATGCTCCTACATCAGTTCGGCATGACCCCTTTAAACTATCCCGACATTGATTCCGGTTAGATCCTACATCGGTCCGACATGACCCTTTTAAACTGTCCTGACATTGATTCCGGTTAGCTCCTACATCTGTCTGGCATGACCCCTTTAAACTGTCCCGACATTGATTACGGTTAAATCCTACATTGGTCCAACATGACCCTTTTAAACTGTGTCGACAATTATTCCGGTTGGCTCTTACATCGGTTCGGCATGACCCCTTTAAACTGTCCTGGCATTAGTTCCAGCCAGTTCCTACAATGGTCCAACACAACCATAAACTGTCTCTCGGCATTAGTTCTAGCCAGTTTCTATATCGGTTCGGCATTACCTTAAATTGTCCTGGCATTAGTTTCAACCAGTTCCTACAATGGTTCGACACGACCATAAACTGTCTCCCGGCTTTAGTTCCAGCCTCTGATCTATTTCAAACGCCCTTGTGTTCCCGTTCGGATTTTGCAATCTATTTGCTTTTTATTTTATTTAGTTTTATTTCATGTTTTAGTTTCTCTCTCCAAACTCAAGATGTTTATCTTCCTTAAGTTTGAGGGAGGATGTTAACGTATATATAGTATATATTCTTACATATATTAGGTATTGATTTCCTAGATATATTAGGTATTGCCATAGTTAGGTCTTTTATAGAATACTCTTTCTCATAGTTAGATTTCTAGTAGGATACTCTTTCTCAGCCTATATACACAAGCCTTCTATTGTATAAGACATATCATTCAATACAATACATTTTATTCTCTCTCTCTCTCTACTATTCTAACAAAGGCTATAACGAAACTTAGATGATGAGACATGGATCAGACTAATCTGATGATGGGCAGTTGTTCGGTGGAGGTGACTTGACTTTAGAAAAAAAAGAAAAGATGCTGAAAACAGGCATGACGACAAAGACTTTGTTGATCCTTCTTCAGTGAAGAAAGCTAGAGTAGTTTGGACTGTCAATCTGCATCAGAAATTTGTCAAAGCTGTAAATCAGATTGGATTCGATAGTGAGTTTATTATGACCTTTCCTTTAAAGTGGGAATCAGAAGTCCTACTGATTCTATTTTGTTTTTTTTCTTTTTGTTTTTGTTTTTGGTAAATTGTTACAACTAAGCGGGAGAGAAGACCCACATGCAGGTGAAGGGAATTCGAACCCTTGACCTCCTAGGTGCAACTCTGTAGTTACAGTTGTTTGCAATCTAACTGGTTTTCTGTTATTCGGCTGTTGTGTTCTAGAAGGTGATGATTTTCATCTTTGTTTGGCAGGAGTTAGTCCTAAAAAAATTCTTGACTTGATGAACATACCATGGTTGATAAGAGAAAATGTTGCTAGCCACTTGCAGGTGATACTCGTAACTCTTGCTCAAATATTAGCTAGAATTAACTATCGACATGGGGAGGTGTTAGTGATGAAAATATATATATTGACAATCGCATTGGTTTGTTTCATATATTTTGACATTCGTGATTAGGGGGTAGTGGGTTTTGAGGGTTGTTGGGGAGTGGGTTTAAGAACCTGTTTACGTTTTGTTGGTTAACTTTTTACATTGGTTGTCTTTGGAGAGTAGTATTGTGCTTCATCCTAATTATCTGATATTATGGGTTCTCATATTTTATATAAATGTCTACCTAATTCCACTTGTGCCTTTCTTAAGTAGATTCTATTACTAAGCTCACCATCTATGATAGACCGCACTCATTCTGTGAATGATACCTTCTTCCATTAAAATTAAAATTAAGTACATGTGTTTGAATGATAGCTCTGAAGATTGAAGGGAAATATGCTATCTATTCGATACTCACTGGAAATTTGACAGAGATATTTTCATTGTACAAAAATACCGCCTCTACTTGAGTAGGTTACAGAAGGAAAACGGGCTAAAGGCTTCGTTTGGTGGGGTAAAGCAATTGGATTTATCTTCAAGAGACGCTGCTGCAAGTCTTGGCCTTTAGAATTCGATCAATATGCAACAAAGTGATGCTGCTAGCGAGATCTATGAAATATCTAGCAATAAGACTCTTGTCCAGAATGTCGATCCCAAAATCCACGAAGGTGATCTAAAAGGTATTGTTTCATTGCCAATGGCAGAACCCAAGAAAGCTCCGGTTCATGATATTCTCGATCCTCCATTGCAACATATAAGACTTTTGGCAACCAAACTAAAACCATTATTTTGGTCTCTAAATGATTTTTGTGACAAAATAAAATTCAACACTAAAAAAATCACTAAAAATGCGCCTAGTAAAGTCTTTAGCGACGAATTTTTGAAAATGTCGCTGAAAATGACAATTAGCGACCAATTTTATATTGTCGCAAAATATTTGATTTTACAAGATTAAACATTTGGTCGCTAATAGTTCCGTCATAAAATGTCTCAATTTGGTCGCGAAAAACAAAATGATGACATTTTTAATGACAATGATATTTGGTCCCTAAAAGACAAATAACTTTCTCTACAACACATTTTCGTTGCTAAAAATCAAAGTTGGGATAGCTAAAAATGCACAAAAATTAAATGGCATCCAATCATAAAATAAATAAAAAAAGAAAAAATTTGACATCCACAAATCAAAGACACTCTATTACCAAATCATAATGAGTACATAGCTCTGAGTATATTCAAAGTTTTCAAATTCAAAATTTCCAAAAATTGACATATCAAGTAATTCTTATCAACAGATAATTGTTGCTATTATGAGGAAGCAGGGCAATGTCACAGCAAAACTTCTTACACTTTTCATCAAAGGACTCCTCGTCAGCATCACAAACACCAAAGCTCCCTAAGGTAGAAAGGGACACAATTATTTAAAACCAAAATTTCCCCTTCCAGCCCAATCTACTTCTGCCTGGCATTCCTTCATCTTCATTGACACTAGAGAAGAAAAATGTGATAAACATTAGAGAGTTACCTAGTCATGAAGAGCTCTACTGCACAATACTCATCACGATTTGTCAATCGCTTAGTAAAATCTCAATATTATCATACATCTATTCTGGCTACAATGATTTCAAGGCTTCATCTCAATACTCATTCATATAGGTGACTAAAAGTAAAAATGGTACATAATCTGTTCAAGGAGAACTAATGAGACACCAACCACATCCTAACAGTGTATTTGTGTATGATCATTGTTTCAAACTTACACACGCTAACGGATTGAGACAGATCATTGACATCAACAGCCACCTTCTATGCTCAGACCATACATCTGGACAAAGAGAATGCATTCCATTCTGCCAATCAATCAAAACAACTGTTAGGTATATGTCTGTGGAAGGATCAAAAGCACAGAACGATAATTAATTGTAAGGATCTGGATCAGCAAGCCAGGTCAGGATTACAATGTTAAAATATCAAACTAAAATGAAAAGGAAGACCAATTTGTGTGTGCATGAATTGTAGTAGGGAGAAGGGAAACAATTAAGACACTCTTAGAAGTTTGCAAACTAAACCAAACCATAAAATGAATCATGTTTTCAAAATTATGAATCAATGTTTTTATATGACACCATATCACCTGTATTGTTCACAAAGTTACATAACAAAATAGCCATATCCATGGTCAGTTTTAACTATGGTAGGGGAGATGTCTAATGAACCGGATGGATTTGGCTATGATCTACTATCAAATTCCAATTCAGAGTGATACGTATTGCAAATCAGCTGATTCACTTGCAATTTTTATCCCAACAGTAAACCGGGGTGTATTCAAATTGGAGGGCCCACAAACTGGTATGTACTGGCCAATTTCTTGAACCATGGATCACAGAGATAGATACCAGAGCTATATAAAAAAATAATGATAATAACAAGTAAATAAAACAAAAATATTTGCATATGTTGTTTTATGATGTCTTCAAGCTTCTAGAAAATTATGTTTATAAATCTAATCCAACATTGTAGTTTTTGCTTTTCATAGGGAAGGCAATCTGCTAAAAGCACCAAGAAGGTGTAACATGGTAGGTCTATCTACGGTACAAGGTGACTTGCACCACTAGGAAGTTATGCAATCAAATTTAATTCCTTGTAAAACACGAAATTAATAAAGAAAAATATGCAATTGCCAAAGATAGCAAATTTGAGTTCAGCTCAAATTTAGATACCAGAAAGGAGTAGAAACTTACCATAACAAACAGCAGCATATAAATCAGGAAATCTGTAATTGATAAGTGAAAACTTTCCCAAAACAAAAAATACACAAAATTGACAGCCTAAACAAATGCATTTGTGCAAAAACCAATTTAGGTCACAACAAAGCTGTGTGTTGTTCGTCGGCCCATTTTTAGTCAACAACCTCCATAAAATTGCATAAATATGGTTTCTATTAAAGTTAAGTTCCCATAAGAACTGTTATGGACAAGGACATAGAAAACAAGATTTTAGGTTAAGTCAATATTATGTTGAGTATCTCAAAGAGAACCAGCTTGAGTCATGATGAACTACTAAATTGATCAAACTTTAGTGTACTTATCTGGAGCAAAAAGAATACAAACCAAAAGATGGTCCCCAATTCCCAAATCTGTCTTTTTGGGAGCATAATAGCTGGAGATAACCAATACATCAAAATCAAGTTATATTGTAAGATCATATTTAGAAATACAATCCAAATGAAAAGTAAACCATAGATGACGCCCTTGCATTCATGATTACTTATATATGTATTCATGATATTTGTGTTTCTAAATGATTCCTAATTCATTAAATAGGACTCAGCTAGTTGCGGTTGTTACATCTAATATATTGCCATTCATAGTTATCTAAAAATAATAATCAGATTTCTTTTACTTGGATTGGGAATTCAATTTTATGAATCAGATTGCTAAAATTAC